CATATCAGTTGGACGCTGCCCACTTTCCAATGAAAAGAATTTTTAAATGGCATATTCTATTCTTGCATTTAATGACCTGAGGTAATTTTTCTCATTTTGCTGAGTACATGGAAGAAAGGTTTTTTGCACAGTGGATCAAAAGTTGGCTAAAAACGGTGAAGCATAACGGAAATGACAGCCAGACTATCAATCGCCCGTTGCCATCTTCTGTTCACAGAATGCAGCCTAATCTTTTATTTTGTGCTGCAACTTTATGTCTTGTGTATTCTCATGGTGTGAGAGATGCATAGATCTCATCAATATGTGATTTAGTCGAATTAGCGTAATCTTGGTCTCTTGCTCGCTTTTGATCTCACATTCGAGAATTGTAATACCTATTTCTCATACTATCGTTTGTGTTCCTAAATACTTTTCAAAAACCAATATTAGGTTTTAGTGTTTTTTACTTTTATATTTTTTAATATTTTCAGTATTTAAAATGCTCATTCTTTGGCGTTGTGACCAGTCAGGAAACTCACAGTAGCCGTATGTGACACGCGCATGCGTCAAACACTTACGTGAATTTGAGTTGGGACTCCCTGATCACAAACTCTGTTGCATAGTTTGCAGTCGACCAGATTAAAGTTCACCAATTCTCATTTTTGCGAACCTTTGAGGTTGCGACTTTGCTATACTCCGACGGATTGTGTTGCGCCAGCGGTTGTAATTCATAAGTTGGATAATTTCGATTTTGAAGCCAACATTTTTCATTATGAAAGAAAAAACGAGGTATCAGAAAGACTTTGCTGTAACTGAACATAATGAATGAGGATTTGAATGAGTAAGTAATTTTTAGCCACTTTTATTACTTTGTTCATCGTAAGGCTAACATTGTGTCCAGAGTTATTGCTTCAGGTGTTGACTTTCGCTATCAGTGTTGACAGTGGTTATCGGCTGGAAACAGTAATGCAAAACTTAAGAAATATAGAAATGTGAATGTTGCATAGTAAAAAAGTTCCAACAACAGAGGAAGGCTATGAAGGCGTCAGATGGTAAAAAAACCATGAGCAAAAATTCATCATTTGCCGGCTTCATATATTGACTCAAGAACGATAATGACAAACAGGAATTAGACTCTTTACTGATAGTCACACAAGCAGCCATCAGGTGAGTCAAGGCGAACTACAGCCACATAAGGTGCTCAAATCAGACAGTAAGGCCGTACCTCTGGTCCATTCAGATGTGACCACACATGAACACCATGCTGCCATCGGCGTTTGTAAGTCAGCAGCCTGTTACCCGTCTTTTGACTGGTTGCATCGATGCAAGGTGGGGTAAATTCTCTGCTAAATGGAATCAGCGATTAAGAAAAGTTCAGTCTTTGTTGGTATTCGAACCCAGCAGTTGCGCAGTTCGAAGCCGATCTTTTGCCACTATGCCGCCGGGCTCCAATTTGGGGCTCGTGAAATAAATTCTCGTTAATTAACATATTAATATTTCGCAATATTAATGATTAGAATCAAACTCTCTGCTTTGTAAGATGATCGTTAATAGACGCTGTAGATAAAGTCGTTGAGTTCCTCAGATTGTAGCTCCACCAAAGCTTATCATACAATCGCACAAAATTTCACTAGTTGCTTAGTTGTCCGAAACTGAGCATTTGTTAAGTTGCCCGTGTAGGCTTGACACTTAACAGAACGGCATACGAATAACGTCCGGTTAGCGCAAAACCTGCTTGCCCACTCTCCACAAAAAGCATAGCGTTCCAGTTTAAACGACGCTACCTACCCCACACGGTTTCAAAGTGCTACTCGAACTGCACATGACTTTGACAAAGAACACAATACAGTAAGCCATAAACCTGCGATGCTTAGTAAAAATGTGGAGCCTAAGGTCGTACAGTATGTCAGACGCTGTCGCGGAGTGGTTGCTCGTGCTGCACATTCGGACGACCGGCCGTGACGCACAGATTACCTACAAGCGGACTTGTTTACGTTTTCGTTTTGGGCTCGAGAAAGGTTCGCAGCGCTCTGTCATCGCTCGCAGGGCTGGTCACGGGCAAACAGCGTACCGTACTGCCTTTTGAAAAAACGACTAATGGAGTCAGCTAC